GGTACTGCAGGGACACCATAACTATATTTTGAGACTGCAGCCAAGATTCCCACCACCCCCCCCCCCAAAGATCCAACGCCCCCCCCCCCCCCCCCCCCCCAAATCCAAATTTATTACCCATGAAATTGATGTAGTAATAATAAGGGAGAGGTGATAGAGCAATGTCTTTTTGTTATTACAACGAAGTTACCCTCAATATTGAAGAACTTCTTTAGGACATAATAATAAGCCATATTAAAGGGACTATCTTACTTCAATCATGTGCAGGACATTGATGTGAATGATCTTTCGAGGCTGAAATAAGTTTTCCCCCCAGTCACTAATCATTTCCAACATAATTGATATAGTGATGGTTGATGCTGACAAGAGATAAGCATGTTTTCTTTCCTTTGAGGTTGCCCTTAATATTGAAGGACTTCTTTTGAACTTGATAATATATCAAGATAAGGGGACTGCCTCACTTCAACCGTGCCCAAGACAGTGACATGAATGACCTTTTGAGGTTGCAGCAAAAGTGTGTCCTGAAACATTTATGGAGGCAGAGATATAAAGGGCTTAGTGTCTTAGCTTTGAGCAAAGATCCAGCACACATACATGAGTCATACATGACACCAACATTTTTACGTAGAAAATCCTGAAAAGGGAAAATCAAGTGGTCAAGCCTAGTTAAAATGATTATACTATTATTTATTTTTATTACAAAAGAAGCCCTTCCTTGGGGGAAGTGATTGGCTTGATGTAGAAAATATACAACACGTAAAGCATTTGGAAGGTGGGAGTTGGAAGAATCTAGTGATATGAGAGTTATTCTTAAAAGAGTGTTAGGTTGTTCATTTGATTGGTTGGACCATAGTTGGGCGATATTAGTCAGAGAGACAGGAGTCAAGCAACATTGGTAGGAGGAATTGAAGTTGGGGGATGACGATGGTAAGAGAAACCATAGTCCACAAGTGATGGTCATCGGAGTAACTATAGTCGGTGGGCGAAGCTGGTTAGAGGGTTGCAATCGACGGACGACAGAGGTCTGAGGGACTATAGTCGATGGGCAACAAAAGGTCAGAGAAACCATAGTTGGTGAGAGACTGAGGTTAGATGAACCATAGTCAACAAGTGACAGTGATTCGAGGGACCATAATCAACAGGAGATGGAGGTCAGTGGCTGGGCAGAGGTCTAACTGTTGTAGGCGACATGACAAAGGTCCGGTGGTTATCGGTAGAATAATGGTTGTTTGACTACAGTCGATGATCCAACGATAGTCAAGAAGTGGCCTGACTATGATAAGAAGGAAGTTAGAAAGAGATTGGTATCAGATTGGAAGTCTCGTGGCGGTCAGCAGTTGGGTGGTGGTTTGATGATGGTCGGGTAGAAGTTTGATGTTGGTCATCTTCTAGCTGGTGGAAGTTAGATAGTGATTGGTGGTCGAGCGATGGTTCGATGATGGTTGAGTGGAAGTCAAGCAGTGGTTTGTGGCAAGTTGGAAGTCTGGTGGGGGTCGGCAGGGCAGTAGTTGGCAGCTGAGCAGTGGTCCGTCAACGATCGATGCAAGTTCGCCTGTGGTGCTTGGGTGGAGTTTTAGATCCTTAAAGCTTCAGAGCACTCTCCGATATCCATTCAAAGGTCCAAGCTTACAAAGGTCGATGCCCCCTTTCATATGAGAAGTGGGGAGCTATTTAGATATTTTTTAGAGTGGTGTGCCCCGTAAATATGGAGAAAATCCCAGGAAAAATCGGTGTGGTCAATCAAATGACTCATGTTGATTCCATCAATCATGGAGTGATTATCGAGCATTTAAGTTCTATAATGATGTCAGAATTAACATTTTTAGGCTCGTTGGATTCATGTCGTCTAGTCGATCGATTATACTATAAGCATGCTATCACTACAGAAAAATTGTTGATTTCTGGCGGTCATGACCGGCTGTTATCGGACCGCTGGTACGAATGGCAGTTTGGCCGGTGGTTTAGATGTCGACTATTACCGGCGGCCTAACCGGGGGTTTTGTAATGTTAAACTGCAGGTAATAGCGACGGTCATGTAACCATCGGATAAACCGCCATACCTCAATATTACCAGCGGTTTACCGGCGGCCTAGACCGCCGTTGATAAGTGATCCCATTACCGGCGGTCGGGACCGCCGGAAGGCCGCCGGTAAATGCCCTAAAATTAACAGGTCCGAGCCTCGAATTTCATTTCTATTATTTCCTTCTCTCACTTCGGACGAGATCTACCGTCACCTCCGCCCTCCTCTCGCTCGATCGAGCGCTCAGTCTTGCCACCGATGACCTCTCTCCGATCGCTGACGAACTATCTCCGACCGCCGACCCCACACCGGCCGCCTCTCGCTCGATCGAGCTCTGCTGTCTTGCTGCCGTCGATCTCACACCGGCTGCCCTAGTTTTCGTGTGAGTTGAAGAAAAACCGGGATTTGAAGGTAATCTTTAATGTTTTTCTGTGATTATTTGTTCTCACTAGACATTTGCAAGAGTTTGTTGTATGATTTAGGTTGTAACCTAGACATATGCAAGAGGTAATCTTGTAATCGTTTGAGTAGATCTAAATTTCCATTTATTAAGTGTAAATTTAGTAATGATAGATCTAATGGGTTGATTGTGACTTTGGGTTAGAGCAAGATAGCAAGAGAGAGATTGAGAGAGAGAAAAGAGAGAGAGAGAATGAAAGAGAAAAGAGAGGGAGAGAGAAAAGAGAGAGAGAGGGAGAGAGAGAGCAAGAGAGATAGATAGATAGATATAGAGAGAGCAAGAGAGAGAGCTAGAAAGAGGGAGAGAGATATAGAGAGAGAAAGAGAGCAAGCAAATGTTAGAAAGAGCAAGAGAGAGGGAGAGTGAGAGAGAGAGAAAAGAGAGAGAGAGAGCGAAAAGAGAGAGATAGGGAAAAGAGAGAGTGAGAGAGAAAAGAGAGAGAGTTTATGATCCAAGTACTGGAGCTGAAGAAACTATGAGTCAGAGGGTTGCAGCATTGACTAGAGAGATTAAAGAAATGAGAAGGGTTCAAAATGAAGTGCAAGCAGAGCTGCAATCTTACAGAATTGAAAATCAGAGGAAGCAAGAGGAAGAGCAGCGACGAACATCTTGAGACAGCGAGGATATAGCTGAGTAGAACTTTCTTATATTTATTGTGACTTTGTGAATTTGTGAAATTCTGAACTTGTGAACTTATGTTTTATGGTTGAACATATTAATTTTGTTTACATTTAATGTTTTATTTGGTTCTACTTATGTATATAGTTGTGATAGTTGATTGAATATAGCGGAGTGTTGCCCAAATCTTGTTATATATTATTTTTGGTGTAGGTTTAGAATTTAGGGTGAACCTCCCCCATATAGAGAGGAGACTGTCAATTTTTTTTTTCAGGTGCTACAGGTTTCCGGCGGCCTACCGGCGGTTTGGCCGCCAGAAACGACGATACCGGACGGCTGATTGAAGCCGCCGGTAACTTCGTTAAACCGCCGGTATTATACCGGCGGTTGCCGACGACACCCGGCGTTTATCCGGCGGTCTAGATTGTTGGTACGACCGTCGGCCAAGACCGCCGGGAACCGTCGGTGTCGTACCGGCGGTTTACTGACGCATGCCGGCGGTTGATCTAACGCATGTCGGTCGCTGTAACCGTCGGCAAGCTGTCGTTGAAGGACCGCCGGTAAGCCGTCGGTCACCTGACCGGCGGCACAACGGACGGAACACCGCCGGAACAAAGCCGGGTAATAACCGGCGGTATAAGCTGCCGTAAAACCGCCGGCTAATTAAGCCTCCAGCAAAAACCACCGACCAATTGTTTCCTACGCCAATTTTTTCAGGCGGTTTGATAACCGCCGCAAAGCCGCCACTTTTTTCGAAAACCGCCGGTGTTACCACCCAAACCGCCGAAAAAAACCGCCGGTTTTGGGTGATTTTCCTGTAGTGTATATTTAGATATCATTTGCTCATCCAATTTGTGCCATAAATCTTTTAAATGGTCCTCGGCCCCCTGATTTGAACTATTTCGGCACAAATTGGAGCGATTTTGGGGTCGTTGGGTTTGTCTCTTTGAGACATTCAGTTTGCTATAAGTGTGCTGAAATTAGAGTTTGGATGGTCCCAAAATTAATTTTGGAAGTTATCAACTAAGATATGCCTCGAAATTCATGCTGGATAAAGGCAATTTTTGTGACATATCAGCTGCCCCCTATTTTTTAATGTCGCAGCTTGCGTAGTCTGAAAATATTTTAGTTTAGCACCATTATCCTTTATTCTATTCATTATTCTCCCTATCTAATTTTCTTTCATGTTTTCCTCAACTTTTTATATATATTATATATATATATATATATGATGCATATACAGCTTATACAAATTACACAATAGATATATTTTCTCTTATAATATAGAGAATATATATTTTTTTAAATAAGAATGAATCTAAAAAAATATGAACATAAATGTAGTCTTGGGAGCCCAACCATTACATTTGTATGCCTGTAAATAGTACCATATTTATGATTTCTTTTCTTCTTAGATATGTTTGTTAACTATCAATAATGATCATTATTTATATATCACAGGATGTAGCACAAGTTGATTTATGGGAGACTTTAAAGGAGGAAATAAGGCATTTGATTGATTATGTCAAGCAAAATGATACTGTTGAGCTACTTGACATTGTGGATGCATTATGCCAGCTTGGGATTTCATATCATTTTGACAGTGAGATCAAGAATGTGCTAAGCTTCTTAGCTACATCATTAGGAAGCTTGAGCAATATAATAAAAAATAACCTTCATTATTCTAGTTTACTCTTTAGGCTTCTAAGGGAATACAACATTAAGGTTCCAAATCAAAGGCAAGCATACCTTTTATATTTTTTTTAATACAATCAAACTTTATTTATCTACTACTTTTAAAATTTAAACTTCATTTTCTTCAATTAAAAATATATTACTTTAAACTTTTAAGTATATTTTCATGATATTTTAACATAACACTAATTCTAAGGTGAAAGTTGAATTTTATTTCCTTTCATTATTGAAATTATAAAGCTTTAGAAATTGTGCAACTAATATTTATTTCATCTTGCAGTGAAGATTTTTTTGTTAGAAGCTTTAAAAATGAGAGTGGACGCTTCAATATTAACATTATGAATGATGTAAAGGGAATGCTAAGTTTGTATGAGGCATCATATCTTGCTGTTCAAGGAGAGGATGATCTAGATGATGCTGTGGAATTTACAACTAAACATTTAAGTAATTATCTTAAGGAACCATTGCTTATTAATCCTCTACTAGTTGAAGAAATAAGTCATGCCTTGGAGCTCCCTTTACATTGGAGAATGTCAAGGTTGCACACCATGTGGTTTATTGATGCTTATGAGAGGCAAGAAAACATGAATCCCTATTTACTTGAGTTTGCTAAATTAGATTTCAACATTGTTCAGACTATCTACAAGAAGGAACTCAAGGAGATATCTAGGTATGTAATTTAAGAAATCATTCATACTTTATATATATATATATATATATGAAGGAAGTTTTCAAATATATTAGGTGGTGGAGGAGCATTGGTCTTGTTGGTGATGACTTCAGTTTTGCAAGAGATAGGTTGATGGAGACTTATTTGTGGTCTGTGGGATGTGCTTTTGAGCCACGCTTTTGGAGATGTAGGAAGGAGATTACCAAACTAGGTTGCCTCATTACAACAATTGATGATATTTATGATGTGTATGGTTCATTAGAAGAACTTGTGTTCTTTACAAATGTTGTTGATGAGTAAGAAAGCTATACAATTTATTTCAAATATTTTGATTTAGTAAAATATATATTGAGAGGTCATGAAAGTTACTTTTTCTTTTGAATATTTTTCAAGAAATCCTTGATAACATATCACACAATTTGATCTTCTAAATTTTGCTTCATGTTTTATAATTTGTCTATCCTAGATGGAAAATCGCCGAATCCCAACATGTTTCAACTTGCATGAAGACAGTTTTGTTGGCACTTTTCAATACAGTTAATGATATCGCACGCACCATTTCAACAGAAAAGGGAATAGACATTCTTCCACACCTCAAGCGATTGGTAAGCCATTTTGGTATCATTGCATCATTATTTTTATATATTAATCAAATAATTCTAATGCAATATTTTCTCTATTTATTGTTATAGTGGGGAGATCTATGCAAATCATATTTAATGGAGGCAATATGGTATTATATAGGATACATTCCCACGATAAACGAGTACATGCAAAATGCATGGCTTTCCATTTCTGCTCCATTGATCCTTACTTCAGCATATTGCTTAAGTGAAGACTTGACTATAGAAGCTCTAAATAGTTTGGAGTTATATATCGATGCTACTCTTCATTCATCTATGATCACACGACTTTATGATGACTTAGGAACATCAACAGTACGTACAATTATGTTATTGTACAATATATATATATATATACAGCATGGAGATGGGTATGGAAAACCCATATGTGAGACTAGGGATAAAATAATTTCTTTGCTAATTAAGCCCATCACACTAGGAATTAGGGATTCATCTACTTAGTATTTGATATTATTTTGTCAAAGATGTTAATCTTCATGTACCATTTGTCCCTAAAACCTTGTCATAGCTTCTTGTTGTTTATGTATGAAAATAGACAAACAAGTATTGTTTAAAATATATTTGCTTTTATTATAATGTGAAATTTTGGTTAGCATGCTGACTAGTTAGTTAAAGCCAATCAAAGTTATTTTTTTTCTTTCTTTCAAAAGTTGAAGTTAAAGTTCAATCAATAGGTATATCTATTTTTTTATTATTTTGAAGGGAATATTATTAATATATCAAAAAAATTAATATTTTAATAATGATCTCAAGACATCTATGTCATAGAAGATAGTGAAAATTTATGTTAACATATTAATAGTTTAAGAAATATTTTTATACAATATAAATAATTAAAAAATAATTATAGATAAATATAAATATTTACATTTAATCTATTAATTAAACTACTTATCTATAAATTGGCCTATTATAGATTCAATGGGGTAGAAATTTATTTTATGAATTTAAATTTATATGCTAGGGCTTAATCTAAAATTGCTCTTACACTATTGTGATACTTTGGCTAGGCACTCCTTAATGATTTTTTTTTCCTTAGCTTCAAATGTTGGCCATTAAAAGAGAAGCATAATACCACGTTAAGTGTTGCAGAGATAAGGATGCTCGGGTGGATGAGTGGCTTTACCCTTAGAGATAAGATACGATGAAAAGGTTGGAGTAGCACCAATGAAAGATAAGATTAGACAGAGTCATCTTAGGTAGTTTGGTCACATAAAATGGCGGTCTTCCGATGACCCGATTAGGAAAGTAGAAGTATTATATTTATCTTATGTTAAGAAAGATAGAGGTAGACCTAAAAAGACTTGGTTTGAAAATATTAGAAATGATATTTCTTTATTAGATTTAAACGGGAATTTGACTTTTAACATGACACAATGAAAAAAAAGGATTCATGTAGCCGACCCCACATAGTGGGACAAAGGCTTGATGATGATGATGGTGTTGTTGTTAGCTTCAAGCAAGTTACGTTCTTCAATCGTTAACTACATGTCCCTCTTCTTTCTCTATTCAGAGTTGCAGTTCCTTTGCACCATCTATTTCTCTCCCTTTCCCTACTCCTCCTCTAGCTTTGGCTAGGGATTACCCCGACTCTTTCTTCCATGAATATCCACCTTCGCCATCCACCTCATAAAAACTTCTAATAAAATTCAAGTATTGTCCTCCATAAACTCCTATTTTCCACTACTTTTGATCACAAATCTTGCTCCTCAAGGGGATACAATTTAGAATGAAATGCTCATCCTAACTTGTTACCTGAAGATTTCCCCACACATAAAAGGATCATTGGCCAAGTATCACTCTCTCACCAACCTCCTATTATCCCTAGCTTAGGGCAGACCCCCAATTAGAAAGAAATCCCCATTAAACAAAACCTATATTTGAAAGAGTTCACAATTAGCTTTATTCAATGCTTAGATGTTGCAATTATCTTTAGCTTAGATTAGATCTCTGTTGTCTCCAAAGAATGTGACCTAACATTGGTCAGATTCTTCTTAGTAAGAGACCTTATTAGGATGCTCTACTTAAAAATGTTAAAATGGCTTGAAATCTCAAAGTTACTTCCAACTTCTTACTTTGAATGATGATTTCTTCCACTTAAAGTTAACTTGCCAAAAGGATTATGACATAGTTTAGATGGGGGGCCTAGGTTTTTCTTTCAAAAGCCTTTCATTTCCCAAAGTTTATATCAATGCATAATAAAATCTCTTATCCTTTCATTTAAATTAAAATCATGAATTTACTTCTATTTTGTTAGAATCTTTTAGGAATTTCTAAAATTTTCAATTGGGTTGGTATTCTTCTAGGGGTTAATGCACTCACTATTAATAAATATAGGCTAACATTTGCTAGAATGTGAGTTTAAGTATCCAATGGTGCAACCATGCCCAAAATTATTTCAATTGCCAATGATGAAACTCCCAAAACTTTGAAATTGTTTAAAACTTAAAACCAATTTTTTTTCTAGGTTTTGGTTCCTTTAATCACCCATCCAATCTATGCCCCATATCACTTCCCCTCTTCTTGAGATTCCAAATGCTTCTCTCCAACACAAGGGTCGTAATAGAAGTAAAAAACTATATAGACTCAATCAAAATCATACAAATATAAGTTCGACCCCCACATCTTCGTTCATTCCTCCCCACTAGTCAGGCTCCTTCATCATCCATCAGGTGACCTTCTACAACCAACTACTTGATAATTTGCTTCATTTATGAAAAATACACGATTTTTCCCACTTTGAACAACTCCTCGTCCAAAACTATACCAAATATAAACTCATCAATGTTATAAATTAAGCACATCTACCACTAGCCTCCCCAAGCAATCCAACCCAATTACTTCCTCAAGCTACCCATAAAACCCCCAAACAACAAAAGGTAATGCCCTCATTGCCACTCCTAACTCATTGCCACATCCTTAATTTTCTTCCTATCCCTAACCTCATGGAACATCGAGGTTCCATAGATTAGGGGAGTCAATTTTTGACACGACCCAAAACACAATCTGAACCCACCCGACCTGAAAAAATCTGGTTTCGAGTCAACCCGAACCTAAAACGGGTCGGGTTCGAGTTCAACAATTCAACCCGTTTTAAAAACCAAGTCGGGTTTGGGTTGACCCAGCAACCCGAAATTGACACGAAAACTCGCATTTGACCCGAAAACCCGAGATTGACTCGTTTTTTACCCGAAAATTGAATATTGACTTGATTTTTTACCAAAAAAAACTAGCAATTTTGAGTCAACCTCAGATCATTCGTGTTGGGTCGGGTTGACCCGGACCCGAATCGGGTCGGGTTCGGGTCCGAAAACCTGACCCGTTTTTAAAAACGGGTCGGGTTCTGGTTGTCCCAAATTGACACCCCTACCATAGGTTAAGCTAGGTGCTACATTATAAGAACCTCATTTCTACCTATAAAATGGACATTTTATGCATCTTCTAGAACAAAATTAAACCCTATCCTAAATGACACTTTATTCATTAACACCCATCAACTTTCTCCACTGAAAATGGCTACAATAACTTCCACTAATTAGTGGCCTTGGGTAGCATCAAAGGGTGTGCATTTAGTTTTTTTTTTTTTTTTTTTTTTTTCTTTTCGATAAATTAGTTAACAAATTTGTTAACTAATAACCAACTTAAATTACCAATTTAAATAAGTAATGGAAATGTTGATGTTTCTATCACTTATAAATTTATAGTTCATGAACTTTATTGATTTAGAATTTGAAAGTATTAGTTTAATTGTGTTTTTGGTTTGATCAATTTTGCAAAAGAAAAAATAAACCATTAACCAAATTTTAAAGAAAGTCCAAATTACAACCAAAATCCAAATTGGTTCATGAAACCTTCAAGATCTACACTTGCACACCTTCATGGCATGTATTAAAACATAACTAAACAACTTATAAAAAAGTTACAATCATTCTAAACAAACACTTCGTCAAAGGGATATCTTTGCCCATTATATTCATTTTTTTCTAAATCTTCCATTAAATGAAGGAATAAGTAGTATTACAGTAACATATCATTAAAATCTGTTATCAGTTATGCACTGTAGCTTGTTTTGCCTCTTCTTTTACATCATTATTTTCTCAGCTTCTTCCTCAATGTCACACTTACTATTTTAGAAGCCATAATAATTTTGACATATAAAGCTTGCTATTCAACTCCAGTATTAACAGAAGAAACCGTAGATGATGAAGATAAATGGTCAGAATTCTTGCCAGTAAGCTTTCTTACGAGGCTAAGAATCATCGGGAGAAATTTGGAAAACAGTGAGAGAAGTCCTGAAATCTGCAAGCAAATCATGATTCATGTTAATGATCCTTCCGAGCTACAATCATCATTATTTCAATTAAGAGAAAAAAATCGATTAAGGAGAGGATAATTTCACCAAGTGATTAAGTTCTCTGAAGAGGTTATGGCAAGATTAGAATTTATTCAAATTAATAATGCGAAAATCATTTGAGGATGTAATCATAACAAAAAGATGATGAAACCGAAGACCGAAAAACAATTGAGGATTATAATCATAGAATGAATGAGATTAGAGATCGATGAACATGTAATTATAGAAAGGAAAAAAGCACACTAAAGCAGACTTTGCTCAAGAAGAAAAATAAGTTGATTAGATGGCAAATATTATCCATGCAAATAAAAAAATTATCAACTTCATATATGTGTTGACTTATGGGACCTCAATGAAGTGTATCTAAAAAACGACTTTCCGCTCATAGAATATCAAATTTATTAGTTGATAATACTTTCAATTATGACATATTCTTCTTTATAGATTAATCGTCAGGCTACAATCAAATCAAGATCTCTCCAAAAGGATGAAAAACACTTATCATTCAAGACACCTATTAGCATACTTTACTATACAGTCGTGCCCTTTAACTTAAAGAATGTTGAAGCTACATTGTAACGGGATATGACACACTTCTTTAATGACTTGATCAATCAAAAGATAGTGTTATATTGATGACATTGTTGTCAATAGCAAAGATCGCGGAGATGATCTTGATAATCTTAAGGTTATATTTGATACAATCAAAAAATTTGACCTCAAAATAAAGTCTTTCAAATGCGCTTTTGGGGTTTCCTCACATAAATATTCAAGGTATATCATATGCCACAGAGGAGACGAAATTGACCCCCATAAAATTAAGGCAATCATAAGAATGCCACCATTGAAAAGTCTTTGACAACTTCATTCACTGGAAGGACAACTTATGCTCATTTAATGATTTATATCAAATTTGTCAATCAAATGTCAACCATTTGCAAAGCTGGTGAAGAAAAAAATTCAATTCAAATGGATTGATGAATGACAATAAGCTTTTGACAGTATTAAGAGAAATCTACTAAACCAGCTCATTCTTATAACACTGAATTCAGGGAAATCTCTCATCTTGTATGCAGCAGCACTGGATGAGTATCTCGAAGTATTTTTGACACAACCAATGAAAAAGGTAAGGAAAACACTATATTCATCAGTTGAAGACTAATAGGAGTAGAAGTGTGATGTTATCTAATTGAGCAAACATTGTTTGGCACTAATATTTGTCACTTAAAAATCTCACCATTACATGCTCTTTCATAAAATCACTTTGATTAAATAGCAATTTGCTTAAGCTATTGATGGCAAGACTATCGTCAACAGAACATTTGGTCAGATGGGCAGTAATACTCATATATGTTCTTCTGAAAGCAATGAAAGGCCTAATCCTTGCAAATTTTATTATCACTGTGGGCTCCGAAAATTCGCGCCCCGGTCTCTGCTTTAGAGGGAGTTTTAACGAATTAGATTCTGAGATAAATTTTCAGAAGATATATTGGATTGTGAATAAGACACAACCCAAAGATTTTGCTCTCATTTTGCAAGGACTTTATGATATGAGTTTTGGTTTCCTATAGATACAAGCCCCTATAGTTAATTACCCCTCCCGATAATGAGAGAGAACTTCCGATTAAGGCTAATCATCAATCATATACGCAACATGTATCTAGTATATAGTAGCAGCATTGGTTGGTGTTTGAAAATTTGATATTTAAAATTTGAAATTTCACCATCTTGCACTTAAAGTGGATGGTGGGGGGAGTGATGATGAACCCGATCACGATCACATAGTTTCGTCGTCCCGGGCCATCATGGTCCCCTGGTTTACTTAGTCAAAAGAGGTTGTTGAACCAACCTGACAAAAAGATCATTGTCAACAGTCATGGGTTGCGTTGTTCAAGGGTACCTTCTAGACTTTGGGTGAGTTTTTGTCAAAGGAGACAAATTTAAACCCACATTAGCTGACATAGGACTTTGTGTTATATTGATGATATCATATTGATTCATATCTCAATGATTTAGTGTCATTGGGGAACATACGGGCTCTGGCAATGACCGTAATTTAGTGGCATTGGGGAGCAAAACTACCCGGTTCAGAGGGCCCCGATCATAACCATTTACCTACGGTGCCATTTGATGATGAAATCACCAGTTAAAGGATGCGTGTCACGTCCTCACTGGCAGGAGACTATTTGATAATGAATCCTAGTGAAATTCTCGATCAGACATTAGCTCTTTGTGAGTTGAAGTACTATTTATATTTGTCTACCTCGGCAAACTATTGCGGAAGATGATTGGATTTTTTTTTAAGTGTTTTGATGGTAAACTTCATTTTTTTAATATTTTGATTTTTTGTATTTTTGGAGTTTTGGGTTTTCATGGGCATTTGAGAGATGTTTGAAGTATTTGGAGCTAACCCATTCGGTCGAGATCTACGTTCAACATGTTCATCATCAGGATTTTAAGTAATTTATATGGTTGTCATTTGAACAGTGTCAATTTTGTTCGCCCACTAACAGAAGATCGAGTTTAATATAGGTTTTATGCTTTTGTGAGCAAACTTTCCTTGTTATGAGCATTGAAGGCTTAATATGAACCATCATAAAAAAAAAAAAATCTGGTCGATGCCGTGACCATATATATGTTTAACGATTCGAGTTGTGTCGACTCCCATCCAGTTAACATAGGAAGATCGGGTTTAAACTCAAGTTCATTTATTGACTAACAGCATCCCTAGACATCACATGTGTATATGTAACATGCTCGTCGGGGCCGATGCAGGTATATGATTACATATGTATTTATGTGTGCTTGTGTGTATACATATTGCAATATATGTGTGCAGGCATTTTTGGAATATTTCAATTGTGCGAGCAACTCTCGTTTAAGTGTGCGCAGCATTCCTTTTGAGAGCTTGTATACGTCTTTTGTCCGCTTGTATGAGTGTTGTGGATCCGGTGGCGTGGCGTCGCGCTATAATCATTTGCCCGTTTCGTATAGGTAGACTATCGTTGTGGGCTCCGAAAATTCGGCCCCGGCCTCCCCGCCTCGCATGACTGTTTTAACGGAATAAGTTCCGAGGTAAAATTTGAAAGGCAGATGGGTTTGTAGATAAGACACTACCCAGAGATTTCGCCCTCATTTTGCGAGGACTTTATGACCTGAGTTCTGGTTTCCTATAGGCGCAAGCCCCTATAGTAAATTACCCCTCCCGATCACGAGAGAGAACTTTCGATTAAGGCTAGTCGTCAATCAAATACATAGAGATATGTGTTATCTGGCATATAGTAGCAGTAGGGGTATGGAATGGTTGGAGAATTAAGGAATTTGGAGGATTGAAAGATTTGGAGATTTGATATTTAAAATTAAAAATTGCACCATCTTGCACTTAAAGTGGATGGTGAGGGAATGGATGATGGACCCGATCAAGATCCCATGGTTCCATCATCCCGGGCCATCGTGATCCCTGGTTTACTTAGTCAGAGGAGGTAGTCGACCCAACCTGACAGAAGGATCCTTATCGGCAGCCATGGGTTGCTTCGTCCAAGGGGACCTTGTAGACCTGGGTTGGATATTTGTCTAAGGGGACAAATTTAAATCCACCTTAGCTAACAGAGGGCTTTGTTCCCTATCGATCATATCCTATTGATTCATATCTTAAGGATTTGATGTCATTAAGGATCGTATTGGCTCTGGCCATAACCGGTATTTCGTGGTACCATTTGGCGACAAAACCACTCAGTTCAGAGAGCCCCGGGTCATAACGGTTTATCTTGCGGTGCCATTTGGCAGCAAAACCACCGGTTAGAGGACACGTACCACGTCCTTACTGGCAGGAGATTGTTTGAGAATAGATCCTAATGATATTTTCGACTAGGCATTTGACTCTAAGTGAGTTAAAGTTATATTTTGATTTGTCCACCCCAGCAAACTGTTGCAGAGGGTGGATGGATTTTGCTTTAAGCGATTGATAGTTTATTTTAATTTTAAATATTTTTGGGATTTTGAGATTTTTTTGGATTTTTTTGGATATTTGGATGGAATTTTGAGTATTTGGAATGGACCACTCCGGTTGAGATTTATTGTTCAACACGGTTATCATCAGGGTGTTTGGGGTCATTTGAAAATATTTATGTTCTGAACCTTGTCAACTCTATCGTGCTGTCGACAGAGGATCGAGTTTCATAGGCTTTATGCTTTTATTAATGAATTCTCATGATTATAGACCTTGAAGGCCTAATATGAATGTATTAAAACAAATATATCGGTCGTCATAATCATATATTTGTTTAATGGTTCGAACCCTATCGACTCTTATTGCTCCGCATAGAAGGATCAGGTTCGAACTTGAATTCATTTATTGACCCGCGCATCATCCCTAGACGTCACATGTGTACCAATAACACGCTCGCCGGGGTCCATGCGGGTGTTTGGTTGCATTTTATAATTATATTCTTTCTACTCCTTTTTATCTGCTTAGGAGGGTCGGGTTCAAATTTAATAACCCGCACAACATCCCTAGACGTCACGTGTGTACCAATAACACGCTCGCTGGGGCCCATACAAGTATTTGGGGGCATTTTATAATTATACCCTGTCTACTCCTTTTTACCTATTTAGGAGGATCGGGTTCAAATTTAATAACTCGCACAGCATTCCTAGAAGTCACGTGTGTATCAATAACAAGCTCGTCGGGGACCATGTGGGTTTTATAATTTCTTTTACCCCTTTTAGTGTACCTATGTATATACAAACTATGGTGCACATATGGGAGTACTTTGAAAGTACTTATAGACGCCGTCTGTTCGCTTGCATAGACGTTGCGGATCCCATGTCATAACATTGTAGTTTTGTGGACGCCTTCTGTCTGCTTGTATGAGTGTTGCAGATCCGGTGGCGTAGCATTGTAGCAGCTTTTGGATCAGTTGTTTGCTGCATTGTACAGGTAGATTGTCGTGCATTATTTGTTATTTTCAGCAGGCGGATTGATATGCACTAACGAATCTCCTGCTTTTGTTTGTTGATGCTTGCATTCATTGTAGTTCTTTGACATTTGTTCGTAGATTGTATGTAATATTCGTAGCGGGGCTTCAACAGAAGCTTGTGGGAGCTTGTGTTTGTCGTATTCTTCATGCACTTTATTATGATATTTGGCTCATGTAGTACATCCGCTATTGCTACAAGTAGGCATGTAGATGTATTCATTCACATATTAAAATTGACTTCAAGATACTGCATTCACTGAAGTCTTTCTGCATCTACCCCTGGGTGGCATGTTATACATACATCTATATTCGTTGAGAGATTGTATGTATTGCAGATCTTCATTCTTACTTGTAAGTAACATGTGTAATGTGCATTGTATGCTCTTTGTTGTCATTTGCATGATACTTGCATTCATTGTAGTTGTTTCATATTTGCTTGCAGATGACGTACTACGTGTATAACGAGTTCCCTACAATGACTCATAAGAGCTAGCATTTATTGTAGTCCTTTGGCATTCGGCTCGTGAATGGCATATAGTACATAAGGCAGGTCTCCTACGATGATTTACAGAAGCTTGTGTTTGTTATAGTCTCTTTCGTATTTGTCCACAAATGACATATGGTGCATATAGCGGATCTGCTATAAGGGATCGTAGGATTTGCATTTGCTATGTATCCTTTTTCTTTATTTGCAGATAGATTGTGGCATCAATATTGGGGAATGATCACTTTTATTGCATGACTCCATCATCACTGACTTCAAGCGGGTCACTGAGCTAGTTAGCATACTAGCCTTCTTTAGTCATGAATTAGTCATTATTAGCCACGAGCTAACGAATGGTCGTCATATTCTTCATAGTTTCCTTCAGTGTATTTCACTATTGGACAACTATCTCTTCCATATGATTGATATAAATGTCACAGCTGATCGTCGTCGCTTCTATGTGATCCACAATCCTTGCTTGTCATTTTGCTTGCGACCAGATGATGCCTCATCTCAAAGGATCTATTGCACTTATCATAGCTTTTCCACGTGTCATCATGAAGTGTTCTGCTCATTTAATACACATGGCCACATGGGTGATCTTCATTTGTAAAGATTCGTCACGTTCATGGTTTAAAATTGCGCAATATGAGGCTCGCCTTGAGGCCCGCCTTTGCGCAATTCAAGTAAAAAATGCCTCGAGTTCCTTTTATGAGGCTTGCGCCTCAACTTGGTTGAGGCCCGCCTTGAGGCCCGCCTCGCCTCACGCTATATATATTAAAACTTACATAAATCTTAAAGTAAATGCCCGACATTGGACTCTATAGGAGAGGAGGAAGGGGAGAGAGCAGTTCATCATAATGATGATTCAAATGTTATGAGCTAGTCGATATTAGCTTTCATAATCTCATCGTTATTCTCAAGCAAGTTAAACATATGAATTCTCTATCTTCAAAATGACTTGCCACGGCGAGCTTGGGATTATTGCTTTTCAATTAAATCAAAACTATGGCTTCTTATATTTCATTTGAACCCAATATCATGCTCTAACTCATGCCAGATACGAGTTCAAGTTCTAATTCTTTGTGCAAGTTCAATTCAAGTCTGAGCCCAAATCAAGTTCTTCTTGATTGAGTTTGATTGAAGTTCCATATTGTCAAAGATTGATTCAAGTTTGAGTTCTTGTAGTCATTTGTTGCAAGCCCAAGTTTGTATTAAATCACAATTTACTTAAGTTCAAATATTTTATAAGTCATTTTATTGTGCAAATATGAATCCAAGTTCAAGTCCACAAATTTATGCTTGAGTTCAAGTATATTTCAGGTTCTATATGAACCTCCTTCGTTCGTCGAGTCCCATGTTATTCAATATGAGTTCGAGCTATCATGCTTTTGTTTGAGTTCAAGTGTATCCCTTGTTCTTGTCAGCTTCGGTCCACATTCAAGTTCAAGCTTAAATTTGATTTTGAGTTCACTTCATTGTTCAATGTCAAGTTCCTTAAGTTATATTCAAATCAAGCTCCAAATTTTGTCCAAGTCTTCAGTTTCAGTGGAAATTTCGGCAGCTTCCCGACGTCTCCCCTGTTTAGGGGAAAAACCAAGAGGCCGCTTACCCGCCACGTCAACAAAGACGTCCACGGTTGGTGTTTGTGAGACACCGTAGCGGTGATTTTGTTTTTCATCCACCACGCCAACAAAGGCCTGCATGGGGTTTTAAAAAAGGTATTTTTTTGAAAAAGCAGTTTGCTTTCCCCCGCTCGGGGGTACTTATGAGTGACCCCGCTTCGTCGTAGGTGCCGCACCGGAGTCCCATCCCACCACGCGCAATAAAGGCGTGCATGGGCGGTTTTCCAGTCCCCCACGAACATTGAAGTAAGGCTTTTAGGTGATTACCCGCCTCGCCGTAGGCGCCGCACTGGGGTCCCATCCCACCACGCACAACAAAGGCGTGCATGGGCCGTTTTCCGGTGCGCCACGAACTCCGAAATGGGCTCACAAGGTTTTGAGTTTAGGAAATTTATACCTTACACAACTCCCCTTGGCCTATTGGTTGAGAGCTTAGGCTTCCAACTAAGAGGTCCAAGGTTCGAGTCCATGTGTATGCGTTGTGTGTGTGAGTTTGCCTTAAATGGCCTAAATATCCCAAAAAAAAAAAATTTATACCTTTGCAATAAACCGATGATGAAAGCGATGATGAGAATGAGGGTATGTTGCCAGCTAGTGGAAAATGTAATGCAAGTGGTAGGAATATTAGCTTTAGCAGGAGAAGTATGCAGGCTTTTGAAAAGAATTAATAGTTGCTTTGTTACTCAAGTGAATGATACAAAATATGTTTGAGATTGAGTACAGATAAAGGTGGAAAATAATTTATAAGTGGGCTGAATGGGCCTCTAGATAACCGCTTTTTTTTTTTTTTTAAATCTAGATAACCGCTTATAGAGAGAATAATATTCTCTGTTTGGTTGAGGGAATTGAAAAGGAAATGTGTGAAATCTGCTTTAATAAAGTGGTGAGGGAGGGCAAGAGGCGTAGTAAAATGCATGGGACATAAAAAAGCTAACGAAAGACAGATTTGTCACAGTTCTTGTTCAAACAGGAATCTCTTAAGTGCTGTTAACGGCAGAAAATAAGAGGCAAAGGCTGCATCCGACAGCTATTGCGGATCACGTAAAAAAAAAGATTGCTTCTTCTTTTTTTTTTGTTGCGTGAAATATAAGCATGGGATGGAGACCTGAAGTAACTTCTTGTTGAAGAGGGAAGAAACGGATGATTAGAAACTCGGTTGAAGCGTCACAGTCGCCGGCAAGTTTGAGCTGTAGAAGCGTTCAATCTAGCTGGATCTAGAGGCGTAGGATGGTACTGGCAAAGTCTGGTCGGGTTTCAGGAGGTAGGCAAGGGAGAATTTAGTGTGGAAGTGGAGATTTGGCCTGCAGCTTTGGGTTTTACTGCAAAGGCTAGAGAAGGAAACGGGTGTTGGTGAAGTTGGGGCTTGGTGTCGTGAGATTGAGGGAGGCGGGAGATTGCCAGAGTTCCAAAAATGGCCGTGGGGAGTTCCTGGAGTTCGGACTGAGTCTTGAAGGCGTTGACGGAGCTTAGATCAGGGACGAACGGGAGTTTCTTTGATAGGGGTTTTGAGATGGGGTTTGAAGCAACGGATTTGGTTCAGGAAATCAAAGGGATGGCCGCCCTAGAAGCTCTCGGAGGAAGGAGGTTTTAGATCTGTTGTAAGTTATGGGGAAGAAGGGCGTGAGAGCTTTCTAGTGAGTATCTTTCATTCCTTAAACGACGTTGGTTCCTGTCTTAAGACCGAGAAATTATGGTGTAGGCAATCCCAACGCTTCCAATGCTGCTTATTTATCTGTTTATTTTGTTGCGTATTTTTTTATACATACTTTTTTCTACATTTTTTTGCATATTTATTGTGTATTTAGTGAGTATTATTTATTTGCTACTTATTTGTCACGAAAAAAGTGTATATCAAAAAATACGTAACAAAATAAGCAGTAAATACGCAGCATCCGAAGCGTTCGGATTGCGTACACAATAATTTCTCCTTAAGACCACCCCATGTATTCATTTGAGGCAACCGGCAGGATTTGCGGGATTTCTGAACAAGACTTCGACAGAACGAGGTAAGAATATTAATTGAGATTTGAGTTCTCATTTAACTTGCTGATTTTTGGTAAGATCAATTGGCAATGTTAATGATGACCTACCATAATTAGTAATAGCATTAATTAGGCTGGATAGCCATGTTCCAATCAATAAAAAACATCCCGATTTGCATACTTTTTGCTCGATTTGCATGCCGATCGCCCCGTTTAATGTGTCGATTTCACCGATAATCATAATTGAACAAATCGATAGGGTATTTAGGGTATTTCCGCTGTCCTGGTCGCAACGCTGCAGTCCATGTTGCGATCAGACTTTGTTTGATCATCGTCGAGGCCTTATTTTTAACGAAATGTGTGTTGTCGTATTCGAATCATCTCGGAATTTGTGCCACCACCTCGAACAATCCAAATTGATAAAAAATATATATATTCTTAATATTGACGACATTCCAGACGCAATGACGCAATCCGTTTCAAGATCAAACGCCATGTCGTCTCCAACGAGGCTAATTACTCTCGTAACGCGTGCCTTTGCATCATATTTGGATCGCCTTTGAAATTTGCGACACCACATCAAACGCTCCAATTTGATCAAATAAAATGTAGACTCTTAATCACTACATGAAAACACGATGTTACCGGCGGACAGTATCCGCCGATAAGCCGTAATATCCGACGGAAATCCTCGGTTTCCGGCGCATTTCAGTCGGATTTTCCTGCGCCGGTTTGGCATGCGTCGCTAAATGTCTTCCGACGTTTGTAATACGCCGGAAACCCTTCCAGTGCACGTTCCGGCGCATTACCGGTGCAAAATGTGATATAAAAGACAGTGACTTTCAATCGATAATTCCGACGACGAATGCATCGGTAGTTTACGTCGTATGTATTCGACGGAAACTACCGGCACATAAACCATCGTAGGTGCGCCGTAAATAAGCAACGACTAATTTCCGGCGCCGAAGTAGCGTTGGAAATCTCCGGCGGACCAGACGCCGTAAAATGCGCCGGTAATTTCCGGCGCCTATTAAAACACCGGCATGACCGATCTGATTCGTTGTATCGTCGTTTCCGTCGACTTTCCGACACAAAATCCGCCGGAAACCTGTAGCATTGACAAAAAAAATTGACTTCCCAGCCAACAATCAGATTTCCACACCTGCAAACCTATACAAATATCTATCCACAACAGTTTATAACAATTGCACAACATAAAATTCTTCAACAGATGCACAAAAACATAAATACGCATTAAAAGAAATATTTCAATATCAACAACAAACTAAAAACATCACACAGTGTTCAATATTACAGATTCAAAGATATAAACAAGTTCCTAAAGTAAACTATTCTGAATCCGTGGACTCCTCCTCAACTGGAGCTACCTCTTTTCCACTCATCTGGTCCCTCATTTTGCGCAATTCATCCAACAATTGATTCTGTTGCTCCTGCATCTGCATTTGGACCTGTGCTTGCAACTGAGCTTGCTAATCAGCTTGTGATTTCCTTACTTGTTCTAGCTCTGCTTGAAGTGCACTTATTTGTTGAGCATGTAAGGTCTCATGTGAACTGAATGCAGTAGAGGAGGTCATCCCCTCGTATGCCTGAGCTTAGGAACCCAAACCATAAACTCTGCCATGTTGCATTCCTCCGATGGCCTGTGACCAGATGCGATACTCAGAAAACTCCACAGAGCCGCCAGAAGAGCCCTCACCTGATGCAGCATGACAAAGTATTACCTTGTGTTTAAACACAAGTAATAGCACCTGCATACAAAGCATTATGAACTCCTTTCTTTTCTAAAACTCTCCGGAGCACTTCTCTTTGAACTTTATCATATGTTTTTTCTAATTCAATAAGTATCATATGTAAATCCTTCTTATTCTCTCTATATTTCACCATGGCTAAAGCAAAAAAGATATGGGATATGATCCTTTTGATGTAATCCAACTGAAATAGAAAATATTTGGTCGAAGCATGCACATGCATGTAATGTGTTTAAACACAACGTACATATGTAGATCCTCC